AGTTTAGTTTACAAAATTTAGAACAGTTAGTAAAAAAATTGGAAGGAAATGTTTCGGCGCACAAAGCCAACTATACATTTCTTGCCTGTGCCACACAACTGGGCCTCATATAAGTTAATTCGTTTATCCCTCTTTTTGCAGGTAATTTGCATAATCTCTTACCAGTGGATATCGCTGTGTTGTTTCACTGCCTGGACGCATCACTTCTTGTGGCGCAACATTTTGATAAACGTCCAGGACTGAAGATGCTCATCCAAGGACTGTACGATTTTTCGGTACTTCCGAATTTGTGTAAGCAAGCAGCATTGGCCTGGACAGCTCGTTCGCTGACGATGTACGAGATGGTGCGCAAATGCCCATTACGAAAGTTCGTTTTTTTTTTTCGATTTTTCATTATGATCAGCTTATCTTGAAGGCATTACCGATGCGATTCTGCCTACAGAAGTATGTGTCAAAGTTCTAGTTGTTTTGAGATATCCTTGATGTGTGTGCGTGTATGTGTGTATGTGTGTGTATGTGCGTACGTGTGTATGTGCGCGTGTGTGTATGTGCGTGTGTGTATGTGTATATGTGTGTGCGTGTGTGTGTATGTATCTATGTGTCCGTGTGTGTCTTTGTGCTTAGCTTCACCACTTTATTTCGAACTTTACCGTTGCTAGACCGCAGTGAAGGGGTACCGTACCAATCACACCCTTGTTTAGGGTGCGTTTTCGAAGAAATGCATGACTTAATTAATGATGGATCTTTCTTTCTATGGGATAAGATAAAATTTGTGCAACTTTTAGGTATCAGTCTGACTAATAATTCGTAAGAGAAGAAATGACAGTTGTCCGAAAGGATATACTTTTGGCCCTTGCAGCTGATAGTTCGACCATACGTCTAACCATTTTTTGACTATACGTTTGATCACACGTTTTGACAGAAGTTCGACCACACGTTTGACCACACGAGAAAGTAAAGCCCATGGGCGGGGCATGTTCCTCATTCGTCTGCAATCAGTAGACATAGCGTAATAATGAGTGGTACCCACTAGAAAATAAACGACCGTCCGGGCGTATCCCCTCCCCTCCCCCCGCTCCCCTGCCGAAGAAATGGTGCATATAAGCAAAGCGCGCGACTAATAACTAGTTGGAGGCATGCAGTACAGGATCGAAGGTGTTGGCATAGCTGTAACTGATGTGTTGAAAAATTCCAGTAATATCGCTAATTTGAGTCGCCATAACTTATTGTGAGGGTAGGGTAAAGAGGGGGAGGGGGTTTTTGGTATTTTCTGTACAATTGCAGAAAAAAAAACACGTTTATTTGCTGCAAATGCGAAACAGAAATTTCAGAGCAGTCATCGCTGAACTACTTGGCTCACCGGACAAAAGTACTACGGATGAATTTTATATCAGACAATTGCAACGGTGTCACCGTCGCGTTTGCACATTTCTCTGTGCTCTGGAGAAAAAGACAGCCGTGGAGGCTACACGTCAACTTGTCACATCACATACTGCGCAGGTAACTTAGACTTAAATTCTGAACACGCAGGCTACCAGTGGGGTTACTTTTAGTGGACCGAAACATTCCTTACCATTAAATTCTTATAATTTACAAATTTTGTAACTCTCATCTCCTACCTTTTTACTCTTCGTCTTCTTTCATCCGTTGTTAACACACCCCATTTTTTGTTCTGTTTTAATGAGGCTCTGATGCTGTTAGTTGTAATGCGCAGCCACCGCGGCTATCTCATCCGTCTTGAGCTGTTCGCAAAAAATTTTCGTCCACATGCCGCACCAGTTATCCGGGAAGCTCCCTTCTTTCAGAAATGTAGGTAGGAACTTGGCATGTACACAACAGAAAGACCTCCCCCCTCCCTCAGACTAAAGCAGAGCACAAGGACCGGCGATGTAGTGAAAACAAGTCACAATTCAAAGGATCCGGGAGACTGAACTGTAAGCTATGGGTAACTTGTAAGCCAATTGTAGCAACCAGGCTGACCCTGGAAGTCCAGATGGCGAAGGTGCAATAGATTATACCATGAAAGAACAGTGCGAGAAAAGAACGTAAGAGTGAGATAAGACGCTTCGGTCCACTAAGGTAAAAGGCAGTACGGGCCTCAGAGGCCCTGTGAGGGAATGGAAGAGGGTAATAACCAAGGCCATTAAGTCGTATACGTCTTGTAAGTTCAATTTCCTGGTGTCCCATCCATATGTCCGCGAAGGAGTTCCATTTTGGAGATTGCCGCTTCCACCTACAGTTATAAGTACCTTCTTGGAAAGATGTCCGGATGATTTCAGAAAGCACTGATTGTTCTGCCAAATGAATAAATTGGAAAAAAAATTTGACTTGGCACGAGCTCTCCAGCAAGTTGCTTGTTTTCTTTTTTTGCGGAGCTTTTGTTTTTTGGAACGATGTCCTAATTTTCCTGAAGAAAATTCCACTGAGTTTTCTCCATCTCCCTGATTCTCAACTTTCTTTGCTCTGCTGTCATCTAAGTCTGTGGGGTAGAGTATAATTTCTTGTAGCACAGTTCTTCTGTTTTCAGCAGGTCACATTGATACGTGATGATTCGAGGGATGGCGATTTGTACAAACTTGTTTCTTCGCAAGAAACCACCGAAATCATATCAGAATATAAGCGTTCAAAAACGGCTCATTCGTTGAATTCATCCAGAGCAAGAGATAATCCATTTAAAAGTAGCAACGAACAGCAGCAGCAACAATCGACAACGACGACCGAGGAGAAACTTATTCTTCGTGTGAGATTTATTTATTCGATTAATACCAAAAATATAACCCTCCTCCCTTCTTCCTGTTCTTCCCTTTCCCTTGGTTATAAGTATGGATATCGCATTTTACTGATGTTATTGGGTACTTACAAACTTCCTTCTCTCCCCCTGTCTGTCTCCCCCTTCCTCCCCTCCTCGGCTATATCGCAAGTTACTGATGTTATTGGGTGCTACTACACGCAGGCGCAATTATTGCCAGGCTCTTCAGTCCGGAAATGTGTGCCTTCAGCTACTAGCTATCGCCTGCTCGATGCATGCCTGCAACCTCTCGCTGGTGTTGGGTGCCACCACTAGTGTGCGATTTTTATCGGTTGTCGGCAAGGCTAGCAACATGTCCTGCTTGTCGGGCTTCGCTTTGAGCGGTCACAGTGACACTGACAGATTTTATCTGACAGATTATGAAGGAGAGTTACAAGTAGATGAACGGAAGGACTACTTAGATGGAGGATTATTAGTCACTTCCTATGCTCGTTGATAGTGGGGCAAGCAAAGGGAAATGAGTTTTGAATTTTTTGAATTTTCACTTAACATTTAGGCATTTTGTCAACGAAAAGGGCGATTTTTCACTGAACGAGCGATTTATCTCTTTTTACTGTTGAAGGAAAAAGACTCAAAAAAATATTCGAAAACTAAAATGCTCGAATACTAGAGAATTCTTTTCAAATACTCTTGAAAACGCTCAAATACTTGACAAAAACAAAAGAACCGAAATACTCGAGAACTCGAAAAAACTCTCGAGTATTTGAGCATTTTAATTTTATACTAAGAATTTAAATCTAAAGAAGAATCAAAAAATATTTGTAGGATGGTGAACTACGTTGTTGTGCATGGACTGAAATGTCGCTGGCAATTCTAGAAGCATGCTTACGCGAAGACAATGAACGATTTGAGAAACTTCTTCCAATCGTTTACGAAAATGCAACGATACTCATTTCTGGTTCAGCCAGTCTACGGGTACGTGAATTTGCTGGTCGATTCCTGCGTAGGCTTCCTGAATTCGGGTTCCTGTCATCGTGATATATTTAGAATAAAGATTGCACTAATGTAAATATGATTTGCTAATTTTAAATATTAAATAATAATCTCTGACCTTCTTTTCGATTTTT